CAGAAATAACAACCTGTTCACAAATAACGTGCCTGTTAAAAATAACATAACTTGTCAATCATAACCCCGTATGTCAATTAACAATGTATAAATAAAATATCCAAAATGTTGCAATAATAAAAAGGGCCTTCCCAAGGGCTAAATATCTAAAGGCGACGAGGGCAAGTCACGTCACTTCTTCTATTGAGATGCGAGAAAATGATGAGACTCAAACTAAGAGTACCGGATGAGACTCCAGCAGAGAGTCTAGGGGAGGGACTTTCGATTCGGACACCGTCGTGGCAATATGAAATTACAGTATCCGTATCGGGAGCCCAGTAGTACATTAAAAACCATTATTTAATATCTACAATCCACGTGCTCATCTGACTTTAAAAAATATACTTAATCAGTTAGATTATTCAGTGCTAAAAGTGGAAAATAATATTTTAACTGAAATACCGAGTGAAATGGATAAAGTGATGGCAAATAGATGAAGAGGAGGTCTACATGTGGTTCAGGGAGAACCAATAGAAATAAGAGCGAATCTCATATGTTAAATGATATAATGAATATAGATAGCTATTAGAATATCAGTTCCTGATGTTTTTAAATTAGTATTAGTATAATCAATGGAAAAGAGTGAATATGGATTTTTCTTCAATGGGAAGATAGAAAATTCCAGACGTTCTTTAATGAATATTCCCGAAATATAAGCTAAATTACCTGAGTTTGCTAAATACCTATTGGGTGGAGGCCAAAAAAGTGAAAAAAGAAGAAGAAGAGAGTCTAGGGTGAAACACCGACCAAGAGTCTTGGATGAGACTCTGGCAGAGAGTCTAGGGTAAGACTCCAAATAAGAGTGCCATCTTTGTTGACCCAGCCGATTTTTATATTAATCGATAAAGCTCATTACGTGTCTAGTCTAATCTTATATTTACTTTTATGGACGTACTTATAAAATGCATCTAATGTTTATCAAAATATTATATAAAATATTATGCTGAATTATTTAATTTAACGAATGTACGAGCCCACTATATGTTCGGACGATGTAAGAAAATTAAAAAAATATATTTATATTTATTTTAAATAATTTTTTTTATTTTCCTGAGTGAAAAATCAAGTCACATACTCTTCACTTAACATAAAATCTGATCGTAAGGAAATACTTTTTTATTTTGAATAAACAACATAACAAAGTAACGAAATTTGATCAAATTTGCCGACAAATAAATATTCGGACAAACTTGAATTTTATAGCTTAAATCGACCTCTAATACGAGGTAACGTCACCTTTTGCGGTAATAACGGCTTGAATGCGTCGTAGCATGGAATCTCCTAAAGTCTTACAATATTCGGGGGTGAAACAGGTCCAAATTTGTGAAATTTTTTCCTTTAATGCGGAAACGGTACGCTGAGGATCGTTACGCAAAGACTTCTTCATCTGATGCCATAATGTTTCAATGACATTCAAGTCGGGACTACTCGAAGGCCACGATAAAACTTTTATATTATGGTCACCAAACCATTTTTTCGTTGTTTCGCCGTATGGCAGGGTGCACCGTCTTGTTGAAAGATAAAACTATCATTTCCAAAACATTGTTCTGTTGTTGGAATTAGGCTTCTTGATAAAATTTGTTGATACTTTTCTGCATTTACAGTACCATCAATAAACTCATATTTGCCAACCCCTTTACTACTCATACATTCCCATATCATAACCCCCTTGGGAAATTTTACAGTACGCTTTAAGCAGTCTTTATGAAAAGCTTCGGATTTTGTACGAATTGCCCTTTTTCGAAAATCCCCAACGCATAAATCAAATTTCGATTCATCGCTGAAGATGACATTACTCCACATTTCCGTTGTCCAGGATATTTTGGATTTTGCTCAATCCAAACGTTTTTTTTATTTGAATAGCTGTCAGTAATGGCTTTTCCTTCGCCTATAAGGAATGTGTGTAACAGAACATTATTAATTTTTGTGTATTAAAACAAAAAATTACAAACTTACTTTATAAAAACTGTAACCAGACTTATGCAACCATTGTCTGCAACATTCCCTAGAGACATTTAATTTTGCCTCATGATTCCATTGGGCTTGTATTTGTCGTAGAGTAGCCCTTCTGTTGGTTTTGCAAATCTGTACCAGAACACGGCGTTCTCTTTCTATGATAGTACGCGGTTGGCCTGGACTTTTACCACGAACGCCAACACTAGCTGTCTCTCCATATTTTTTATAATATCCCCGATCGTTTTGCAATATTTAAATCATTCGAATTTTTTTGCATTGATTTTAGGTCACTAAAGGTAGTTGAAATGTATTTTTTTGTTAAACTAATCCATAACACCTCTAATGTAAAAAATATAAAGGTGCGTCCCCACCGAATCAACACTGCCAATCGACTCTGTCTATCGATATTGTTGATCAACAATCAACAATCAACAAAACTGCATCTATCCACCCCAGAGTTGACAGAAATGTTTGTCGATCAGTCGAAATTAACATGTCTGACGATGACATTATAGTTGCTTGTGCTGCATATATTATTATTGCGACTAAAAAAAGAAAACTTGCTCGCAAAAGAAGATTTAAGTCTTCAAAGTAGAACTAGATACAACGCTAGTAATTTGATAGAAGATTTAAAAAAAGATGACGTCAACGTATTGAGCCTTGAATACAGGTGTAAAGGTGGTTTTAGAAAGTCTACGTACTTCTAAATCCAACATCTCCCTGGGCTTATTATTGTCAAGTAAGAATCTCAAACTTTTAAAAGCAAACCATTAACTTTTATATACATCCTCCGTACCAATGCCAGATTTGTTGCTGTCCTTTATTTTTTTTTACTTCTCTGGTAAATTGACTTTGAAGATTTCTAATTTTTTGTTCTACCGCTTGTTTCTCGACGTCAAATTCATTAGCAATTTCTATAAGGGCATCGTGCCTCAAGTTTTTGTTTTTAGAATCCCATAGATGTGTTTTCAGTTTGTATGCCTCAATAAAGACTTTATCTTGTTCCCATTCCATTTCTCCAACGAAAACACAACTACAATGTCAACAAGGCAAGACGTTACTGAGTACTTGGTACTCGTACTAACAGTTGTCGCGTACATACAAATGCTGCGTTTGAGAATCCACATCGGATGCATTTTTTACATCTCGAGCGTTTTTTTATTCACATCGGACACATCTGTCCCATTACATTTACGTATACTGAATCACGTGATCAAAGATTTTTTACATCTCAGATGCATCCGATGTGGATTCTCAAAGGCGGCAAATGTCCACAACGTCGATAGACAGAGTCGATCGATAGTGTTGATTAGGTGAGGATGCACCTTAATATTAACATGGTTTGTTGCAGTAGGCGGCCGTAATAAATAGGCGACCATGCTTTTGACAGATGAGGTTTATATTAGTAAACTTCATTAAGTTACTGTATAGTAAACCAGCAAACAAAGATATTCTTATGTAAAACATTTCTTGTAAGCATTTACGTTAAACAATTTGAGAAAAATAGAATGCTTTGAAAAGTACAATTTATGTAAATACTGCAAAGAGTTGAGTCGAGTGGAAATATGTCATCCAGAATTAATATATTTAACGAATTTAATGGAAGATTGCGACCAGGAAGTATTAGAGTCGAATGGTTTGTTTACAAAAATCCAAGAAAATCTGCTAAAGATGTCAAGTAAATATGGCCTTTTGCCTAAAAGAGACGTTGGGCGTCACGACGCTTCAAAATTTTTTTTGTCAGAAGCATACCATTTTATTTCAGAAATTGAAAGGTTTATTCAATAAGAAACACTTTTTTCAAATACCATTTTTGTTCTTCATCTAAAACCATTCAAACGTTACAGACCAGTTTTTATATTTTAAATTTGTCGATTGCCATACAAAGAATGCATGGGTTTTTAAAATTCACTAAATCAGGTGGGCTTTGAAAAAACAAACTTGGTTTATATTGATTGATGTCCAAAACTGTCAGAGTAATTTTAATTATTTCTATTAAATAGTAAGTATCAAAGCCTACCTGATTTAGTAAAATTTAAAAAAACATACTTTCTTTGTATGAAAATCGACAAATTTAAAACATAAAAACTAATCTATAATTTTTGAATGGTTTTAGATAAAAAAAAGTGGTATTTGAAATAAGTGTTTGTATTAAAGAGATCTTTCAATTTCTAAAATAAAAACGGTATGCTTCTGACAAAAAAATTTATGAAGCGTCACGACGCCCAGCGTCGCTTAATTATAACTTCCATATTTATCCCAGTTTCAAGCATAAATCGGTGTAAATAAAATACTTTTAACACAACTCAATTTGCTACAGCCGTTCACGTGAAAAACTCATTTCCCATGATAAAAGAATCCTGTACATCCTACGTTTTTTGAAATATAAATTGTTAATGCTAATAATTAAACAAATTTGTGTTTTCTGTTTAATGCAACTTTATAGCGAATAATAAATAATAATTGTAATTCTTATAGAAATTTTGCATTATTCACAGGTACATTATTTAATGGTTGTAGATCACAATTTCCTCTTGAATATCGTGGCGCCTCGAAAAAATAACCGGAATTTTTTTTAGTTGCCATGGTAACTAGTCAAAATCAAGGCATCTTATTGGTTGAAAAGTAGAGGTGTGAAATTTTCAAATTGTGACCAAAGTTATCCCGTATCTGGAGGATACTTTGAGACACATAATAAACAAAACATTATATCGGGTAAATCTTGGAACTGTTATGATTATGTAAGAAAAATATAAATATTTACATAAATTCAAGTTTTCTTACAAAAAAAAAACCTGAAAATTTATACCGATTTACACTACATAACTTATTTTTTTGTTCCCTTCTTATTTCCTTATTTCATGAATTATTTAAATGATTTGATTTTCTTACTAATGTATTTTTCTAAGGACTCAGTGAGACCGTAAAAATTCACTAGTAATTAGATATTAGTTATTTTTAAATTACTATTGACTGCAAAGTAAGTATAATGCTTATTTTGTACCCTATTAAGTTTTTCGGAATATTGGATTCTATCTCAACTTGCCTTACATATAATCTGTTATTTATATTGATTTTTCTGTCTAGATAACATTTATTAAACTAAAATAACCTCAATCACATCAATTTAAACACATTGACTTATTGTCATGAAGCCAATCAAATAAAACTACGTAACGATTTCATTAATTAACTTCCATTAAAAACCATTTATAGTGTCAACAACATTGACTGTTTGCATCTTCGCCAAAAAGTATTATAAATAAAAAATAAAATACCATAATCTCTTTGAGCATTGTTAAAATTTTTGACAAAACAAATACACGTGATGCTTGTTATTATAAAATGATAAAATATAATTTAATAATTAAGTAGTTATTTTGCAATAAAAGTATGTGATACTATTAAAAAAAAATGTTTCCCAAAATGGATAGAGGAATTTTTTTCCAAGTGTTTGCTGCAGTTACTGGTAAGTTAAAAAATGTCATTTTAAAATTGTTAATTGTGGGGTTTAACAAATCTAACCAAGTACCTAAATAAAACAACGATAAGTATTATACTAAACACTTTAGTTATTATTAATTATTAAAATTAACACAATATAAAATAAAGACACGATAGGGTGTACCTAAAGAAAAGATATACAGACTTGAAAGTAAAATACCTATAACCATCCTTTCCTTTGTTTTTATTACCACTTCTCTTCAATTTTTTCCAGCTAGATATTTGCAACATTTTAAAAAATGTCTTTATTATCGCTTTAAGCCTTAAAAGTTAGGTTAGTTTCATAACAATTGAGGCGTTGATATGAAAAACTACATATGTCCAAAAAGTAAGTTTTGAGATAATTAACAAAAACTTAATAACTCAAAAAGTTGAAAAGCTACTATACTGATTTTTCCTGTCGTTTTTGGACCATTAGAAGATAAAAAGTAAATATATCAAGAATTTTAAATTAAATAGTGAAAAAAAAATTATTCAAAAAGAGTGTTACATTTATACGTTTTCGCCTATTTTTTCAACCTAAAATAAAACCCTCTAAACTTTACTAAAATAACAATTTAATGAAAAATTCGGAAAAGAATTACACTTTAAATTATTATTGTGGTTTTAAAGTTGTTCACATCCACTGCTATTATCATCTTCGTCTATTTCAGGAAAAGTAATTGCAATTTTCTCCTAATTGTTCTCTGTACGAGTACCATGGTGTAAGAATATAGCTGAAGCGGTGCGCAGGTTTTATGACGTCAACATCGGTATTGTCACGGCCGCCTACAAAATTACAAACTGCCCATGGCTTTGTTTACATTTTGTAATGATGGTCAAAATGTTACTTTTTTATTTCCTAGTTCTATAATCATTGTAAAAATTAAAATATATATTTAGATGAAAATAACAACTGATAAATCACATCAAGTTATGCTCAATAATACAAGAAAATTCCAAAAAAACTCACTATAGGCAGATATTGGACCCTTGTGCAAAGAAATTCAAAATAAAAAATATTTTGTGCTCTTTTAGCTTAATCAGATGACAAGCATTTTTCTTGAGAATAAACAAGATATAGTGTTCATCTGAAACTGATTTCTTCCACCACAAAACTTGAAGAAGATGTTAGTACCTAACGTACCGTCTAGGATTTAAATATTCATACCTAGCATCACTATCTGATAGATTGAGATCAAGATGATAGACAAAACGTCTAGAACCTAATCTTTCATGGACATCACCATTATAAAGTTTTAATGTCTCAGTCCCGATAAAAATTGGAATAGATAGAAGGCATATAGGTACAAATAAGTAGATTCAAATGTGAAAATGAAATATGTTATTCAATTACCGAAAGAACTAAATAAATGTACCTTAATAAAATTTTGTAAAATGTTAACAAAGACAGGACCATAAAATTAAAGTGAAATAAATTTAACGGGATATTTTTTTAGTTGTGGATTTTCTTAAATAATCAGCTTAAAGGGTCTGTATAGTAGCCACTTTTATAGGATAACTAGCTATTGCCCGCGGCTTTGCTCGCGACTTTGCTCGCCTATTGTCGTGTTATTAATATAAAAAAATACATGACTTCCTTTTTTATTAATTTTTATTAGTTTTATTGATTTTTATCCATTTTTTTCATTTTTTTTATATTTATTCATATTTATTCATTTTTTTAAAATTTTTATTCATTTGTATTTATTTTTATTCATTTTTATTTATGCTTATTCATGTTTATTCATTTTTATTCATTTTTATTTATTTTTATTTATTTTTATTCATTTTTATTCATTTTTATTCATTTTTATTCATTTTTATTCATTTTTATTCATTTTTATTCATTTTTATTCATTTTTATTCATTTTTATTCATTTTTATTCATTTTTATTCATTTTTATTCATTTTTATTCATTTTTATTCATTTTTATTCATTTTTATTCATTTTTATTCATTTTTATTCATTTTTATTCATTTTTATTCATTTTTATTCATTTTTATTCATTTTTATTCATTTTTATTCATTTTTATTCATTTTTATTCATTTTTATTCATTTTTATTCATTTTTATTCATTTTTATTCATTTTTATTCATTTTTATTCATTTTTATTCATTTTTATTCATTTTTATTCATTTTTATTCATTTTTATTCATTTTTATTCATTTTTATTCATTTTTATTCATTTTTATTCATTTTTATTCATTTTTATTCATTTTTATTCATTTTTATTCATTTTTATTCATTTTTATTCATTTTTATTCATTTTTATTCATTTTTATTCATTTTTATTCATTTTTATTCATTTTTATTCATTTTTATTCATTTTTATTTATTTTTATTCATTTTTATTCATTTTTACTCATTTTTATTCATTTTTACTCATTTTTATTCATTTTTATTCATTTTTATTCATTTTTATTCATTTTTATTCATTTTTATTCATTTTTATTCATTTTTATTCATTTTTATTTATTTTTATTCATTTTTATTCATTTTTATTCATTTTTATTCATTTTTATTCATTTTTATTCATTTTTATTCATTTTTATTCATTTTTATTCATTTTTATTCATTTTTATTCATTTTTATTCATTTTTATTCATTTTTATTCATTTTTATTCATTTTTATTCATTTTTATTCATTTTTATTCATTTTTATTCATTTTTATTCATTTTTATTCATTTTTATTCATTTTTATTCATTTTTATTCATTTTTATTCATTTTTATTCATTTTTATTCATTTTTATTCATTTTTATTCATTTTTATTCATTTTTATTCATTTTTATTCATTTTTATTCATTTTTATTCATTTTTATTCATTTTTATTCATTTTTATTCATTTTTATTATTTTTATTCATTTTTATTCATTTTTATTCATTTTTATTCATTTTTATTCATTTTTATTCATTTTTATTCATTTTTATTCATTTTTATTCATTTTTATTCATTTTTATTCATTTTTATTCATTTTTATTCATTTTTATTCATTTTTATTCATTTTTATTCATTTTTATTCATTTTTATTCATTTTTATTTATTTTTATTCATTTTTAATCATTTTTATTTATTTTTAATAATTTTTATTAATTTTTATTAATTTTTATTAATTTTTATTAATTTTTATTAATTTTTATTTATTTTTATTCATTTTTATTCATTTTTATTTAGTTTTATTCATTTTTATTTATTTTTATTCATTTTTATTCATTTTTATTCATTTTTATTCATTTTTATTCATTTTTATTCATTTTTATTCATTTTTATTCATTTTTATTCATTTTTATTCATTTTTATTCATTTTTATTCATTTTTATTCATTTTTATTCATTTTTATTCATTTTTATTCATTTTTATTCATTTTTATTCATTTTTATTCATTTTTATTCATTTTTATTCATTTTTATTCATTTTTATTCATTTTTGCGGCTTTCATTTTTTTGTCGTGGTATTTGTTGAGCTCATGTGTTTTAAAATGGGAATAATTATTGGCGAGAGTCTTGTTACAAACTTTGCAAAATGACTCGCCTAACTTTGATTTAGAGGAGGAATTATTTAGCCACTTAAACTCAGAGAGCCAATCCTGCCTGAAGTTTTGATTATAATTCAATTTTCTTTCTTTCTTTGGAGTGTTGTCTTTGCTGTCATTTCCGCCTTCCTCACTATCAGTATTAGTGCTTACTACTTCAACATCAAAACCCGACTTTGATGTTGACGCATGAGTATCACTGTTTTCAACCTGCACAGGCTTGTTCTGCTGTTTGGTAGGTTTTACTAGAAATCTAAAATAAAAAATAAATAATTCAACATAAATATTTGTTTACTTTAGAGGTCTTGTCATTGTTATGTAGGTTACCTAATAATTATTAGATAATTAAAAAATCTTTCTTTAATATGTTTTTATATTCCGTTAAATCCTAATATGTAGTACCTACTTATTGCTTGGGTGGATACGTACCTGTCCATTATAAAAAAATACACAAATATTTACAAAGACCAAAAACTAAATACTGACGCAAGTTGCAACTCGAAGTGACTCAACAGAAATTGGGTTTCTTGGAAGTATAAAGGTAAATTGACCTAAGATGTAAATGTAGTAGATTGTAGTAGAAATATTAAAAATGTAGCAGATACTAAAAAAGTATAGTAACGTACTAGAACCATTAAATTGTAGTAAATCTACTACAATTGTAGTGACTCTGGCAACACTGCCGACACGTATCTACCGACACATACGTAGAAGCGCTGTCGCCAATGTGTTCAGATAAAAAAGTTCTTTGATAAAAATATCACTTGGGGTCCCAACGGGACCCCGAACAGGAACCTAAGGGTTAAAGAAATTGGTGGATATTAAGCGATACGCGTCTATATTTTATGAAATATTATTTAAAAAGTTGTATTACAGTATAGTATTAAATTCAAAAGCTATTTTAATATTTTAGAAATATTTATTTTAGAAACGTTTCTACGTTTCATAATATTTATGAAAACAAAAACTAGAATACATTTCTGAAATAATATTACATTAAAAGGATACTTTTACATTTTGGGAACATTCTAGACATGTTTACGGGGCGTTTCGTAATATTTATAAAATATTATAGATTTTTCAATGTTAGAATTTTTATATATTTCCGAAATGTTTTATGCTGTATGACAATAAATTTTTTTTAACTCTTTATTAATAATTATTATAATTTTAGGAAATTTAATGGCAATTTCGGATGGTATGACAGTGGGATGGACGTCACCGATGATCCCGTATTTTCTAAGCGAAAACAGCCATATTTCCATGACCCGTCACCAAGCCGAATGGTTGGAAACATGGTACCCCATTGGATCAATGATAGGATTACCGTTTACCGTATTTTTCGTTAATAAAATAGGTAGAAAAAAATCTCTGCTACTCGGTACATTCGCAATGCTCATTCAATGGATCCTAATATTTGCCGCACCCAGTATTAACTACATTTACGCAGCTAGAATTATAGGTGGAATGGCGGGTGATATGTCGTTTGTAGCTGCGCCGAGTTACATATCAGAAATAGCTGATAAAAATATTAGAGGATTTCTTTCAAGTATTATCTTTTTATTACAAATGGTCGGAGTGATAGCTATTTACGTGATTGGAGCATATTTGCCTTTTTATGCTGCATCGCTGACTGCCGGAATTTTACTTACTATCGAACTTATTTTATTCTCGTTCCTACCAGAAACGCCGTATTATCTTCTATCTAAAGACAATCGCGAAGAAGCTAAAAAATCTTTAATTAAATTTCGAGCTACAGCATCTGTAGACAGTGAACTAGATGAAATACATGTAGCTATAGAAAAACAGAAGCTGGAGAAAGGGAAACTAACTGATATATTTTTAGTAAAAGGCTACAGGAAAGCTATATTAATTATTGTTGTGCTGGATATAGCGCAACAAATTGGTGCTATAAATGTAGTTTTAATGAACTTACATATAATTCTAGAAGAAGCTGGTTCTATCTATATTAACCCTTCTAAAGCAGCAGTTCTATTTTCTGGGTTACTATTTATGGCGGCAGTCGCTAGTTCTGTAGTTGTTGACAAATTCGGGCGTAGGAAATTATTAATAGTATCTAATATATTAACAATGCTTTGTCTTCTTATTATCGGTATTTATTTTAGTATCAAAAATGGAGGGTATGAATACGAAAAATTCAGCTGGCTTCCAGTCGTTTGCGTAATGATTTACGCAGTAGTGTATAAAATTGGGTTAGGAATGGTTCCTATTGTAATAACAGCGGAAATATTTGCTTCGAAAATTAAAGCTTTGGGTATGTCTATAGGCAATACGGTGTATACAATAACAGCGATTGGTGCAATACAGATTTTTACTAGGCTAAAAGATGTTAGCGGGATGCAATATCCGTTTTATATTTTCGCTATAGGTTCTTTGATTGCTACTGCTGTTGAAATGTATTATATTCCAGAGACGAAAGGTAAATCATTGCATGAAATTCAATTATTGCTTGAAGGAAAAAATAAGAACAAAAACGACGATAATTTAAAGAACGAAAAGGAGAAGGAAGCTAGCTTCTAAAAAAATCGTATAATACATAATTGAGTAAGAATGTTCGATATTAGTGCCCACTTGTAGGTAAAAAAATTAATAAATAATAAGCGAATTTTATAAATGCTTCAATGCACCACATAACATTACGTAACTAACTTAAAAATGAACCTTCTTAAAATAATTTTGTAGTGCATTGAATTACTTATAGGTGCCACATTTTTAATTATTTAACAACAAGAGGGCGTGAAAATTTATGGTTGGGATATTTAATTTCATATTGCTGATTTTTCCATAAAACTATATTTCAGTGAAATAGCAGATGACTACTGTTTCAATTTAAAAAAAAATCATTGATTATACCATTAGTCGAACAAAGGTTTACATTAAGTACATCAGTGAATGGGACATTTAAAAATAGAAATTGATGTGTTTTATGATTTTCCTATTTAGTCCATGCTTTTGCATCATACTGTATAATTGATAGCAAAGAAAAGTTGCCTCAGAAAGTATTAAATAGGCACGCAAGTTCTAACGTTATTATTTTTTGGCATGTATGAAAACGAAATTTTTTAAAAAGGACATGCTTATTGTAAAATTAAGTTTTCTGCATATTATTAAAGAATTAAGAATTTTGTTGTCATATTATTTTCAAAAAAATATATGAGTATAATTTCATTTTTAATAAAAAAGTGGATAGTGAAACTACCAAAATACAAAAAGCATCAAAAACTTTACTGGTTCAATAGTATGGAAATGAGTTTAATTGTCCCTATCTGTCATTACCAAGTTTTATACCTCTTATCTCAAAAAATGATCATACTAAGTTTATATGACTTTCTCACATTATTAGCAAACGTAAAATAAAATAAATATAAAAAATATGCAATTTAACCGATGAAATTTTTAAATATAGGGCAAGACATAGAAAAAGTATTTTTTTTTTTGTTTTGGATGCATATCTTTTGAATCATACTAAATATGGTTTATAAGCTATAAATATTTTAAAATAGTTTAATGTCTATTAGTAAAAAGCGATAATAAATAGGTAAAATTTTTGTAAAAACAGTATACAGCATCTATCAACTTTTTGACTCACCATGTATAGAATATGAATTTTGATTATTTGAGCCAAGGCTATTTTAGCGAGAAATTATTTTGGAGAATATTTTTATGTAAAAGTAAAAATTCGATTTTCATTAATTTATGACTCAGTGTAACTAATAATAATTTACGTCATGTATTACACTAGAAATATTACTTGATATCAGTAAAACATTATTCTTGAAAAATATATGTAATTATAGTAGTTTTTTTGGAGGCATGTCCTTTTAAAAAAAGGGCGGTCTAATCCTTTGCCGAAAAAGTTAAAATTGTGATTTTTCAAATTTTTCATTATTTTTCTTTTGACTTTGTTCAATTGTAATTCCATCCGCAAATTAAAATCAAATTTGTAATGTTTACAAAACGACTGAACATTTATGTTAATACTCAATACAGAAAAATGTTATGAAAATTGAGGCTTTTATGGAAAAATACAAAAATAAATCAAAAATCATATAAAATGGGACGTTCTTTTGTTCATTGTAACTTTAACCCCCATGTTTTTTATTGGAACATCCTGTATAATAATGCATTTTTTTTAATCTCATTTAATAATCAATTTCATAAATGTATATTTGGAGATTTAAAGGAGTTCGTTTGGAAGTAACAGATTTAGGGGTCTATTCTGTAACAATTCCTTTATATTTAACGGCCTTTAAAAATATTGGCGGCCTATAAAAATATGTTCGTATTCGTTAATTTACTTCTGTCATTATTTAAACAGATTTCTTTAAGATAGTCCTCTAATGTATTTTAAAGATTTGTTTAAATAATGACAGAAGTAAAGAAGAAAATATTTTTAAAGGCCGTTAAATATAAAGGAATTGTTACAGAATAGACCCCTATTTATGTTTAATAATAAGTTGAATCTCAAAAAAGTTAATGGAATTGTTATCGTATCAATAAAAACCTATGTTATTAGGTGTTGAAACTGCCTTTCCATACAATGATATTTTTATTATTTTTCATAAATGCTTCACCTTTAAAATTATTTAGGATGGATAGTTTTTATTGAAATGTCCTGTATATTAAAGTAATCAACTTTATTTATAGCATCTATAGTAACAAATTGTATTGCCAATTTTATGGCAATTCGAATCAATGTTTTAATTTTTGAGTATAAAAATGGAATATAATAAAGTTATAAAAAAAGATGCAAACGTGTTTTTGTATTTTGTACCTAATCAAATATTTGTTAGCCTTATACAAATATTTTTTTGCCTTATACAAATATTTTTTTAATATAATTATATACAGGGTGTCCGGGAAAATGTGGTAGGTCTCTCGGATTCAGATAAAACATTAAAAAATAAGATAACAAGTTCCCACAAATTTTTTTCCTAGCGGCCCTCGCTTCGGAGATACGGCTTCCAAACGGACGCAACTGGAAATCAATTTTTCTTGCATAACTTTTAAACTACGTAATATAATTTAATGAATATTTAATATAATTAACAGTAGTAAGAACTTCTTAAAATACTGACCTTAAAACATAATTAGCTTGTTAAGTTTACCAGATGCGGACAAGGTTGTACATTTTAATGCTTACATTTTTAACACCCTGTATGATAAGGAGCTAAAAAATTTTTCGATACGTTGAACATTAAGCTAAAGAAAAGGTACTCTGCAGCAAAGTGTGTTATGAAAGTCGTTGAAATAGAACTGTTATTAGTATTAAAAAACGCACTGTTTTTACAATCGTTACTATGGTACCTACGAAATAAATAAATAACTAATTGCATTAATGTGTGCATTTTAATTCTTATTAACACGTTGATCTTTTAGTACTTCGAAATTAATTAATCTAAAAAGAAATCATTTCAGAACACTTACTTATCTACCTTTTTGCCGAATTTTAATTATAGAAGGTGCTATGAATTTTGTGTTTCTTTTGAGACATCCAGTATGCTCCTTAAATTTAAAGTTCTGACGAAAATAATTAAAATATGTACAAAAATAAAAAATAGTATAACAAAACTAAATATTAAAAAAAAACAAAATTAAAACAAAAAAAATCAACAAATGCAAAAAAAACAAAAAATAAAACAGAAACAAAAACAAGTAAAAAACAAAAACAGACGAAAAAATCAATAACAAGCGAAAAACATGAGCTAGAAAAAACCTATTATAGGACTTACTTCTTATTAATGTATTTAGAGAAATGTGAACTGTGAAATATTGTAAGGATAGAACTTAAAATTGAATTGATACAAAATAAACTTTATTAAAATTAATTAAAGATTGACTGGCCAGTCGGTTTAGTCGTTTTAACCTGTCAGATTAAAACAAGAAAACCAACAATTCCGAAGCAGAAGCGGATGATTAAAACGCACCTATTAAAAATATTGCGCCAAGATGTAGGCAACACGTAATAAGGGATCAAAATGGCAGAGTTTTCTATCTCCCTTTAAAAGAAACTCAGAAAGCTGCGCAGTGCGACCATTCTCCGTATAGTAAAAGAATATCAAAGTATGTGGAGGCACGAGACAGCTACAGACGACCAATGCACTTACGTTTACGTGTTAAAAGTGCTGTCGCTGTCTCTTACATCAGTCTCTCGATTTAAAATGTGTTTCATTTAATTACATGTGACTCAGACCTAAAGAAACCGATTTCGGCCAGCTTATGCGGTCGCTTGTCTCTGTTTCGTGCCTCGGTTTCTTGTCTAGGTATCGCGTTTCCAAATGTGACTTTAAGGTAGCACTCTAGAGAAACCTTAAAGAAAAAAGGTGGGAAACCCTCCCATTTAAAAACTACTTAATATTTAAAGATTAAAACAAAAAGCAGATTTTCGTAAATTTAATCAAGAATGGCGCGTAAATGTTTTTTTTTAATTCTTTTAAAAAGTTTTCAAAATAGATAAATTTAATACTTTTTGAAGGTTTACAAAAAAATCAAGGTTTCTCTACCCTAAGTTTTGTTATTATTGGTATTTTCTGAAAATTTCACAAAAATCGTACTAAAAATTAGAAATTAAAAATGTTCAAGATATTCGGTTTGCTCTTAAAAAAAAGCAAATAGTAGAAACACTTGTTTAATTTATTAATCCATCTTTTTTAATTAGTAAGTTAATATTAATTTAGTTTGTTTTCTATTAAACTATTAAAAGATTCTGTAATATCTTGTTTAATTTACTTAAGTCTTATTGTTATATGAAACAACTCGAACGATAAATTTTACGACGTTTTTATTCTCTAGTCTTTATTAAATATGGTATTTTCAGATTTAAACTTGCTTTTTTTAATAATACTATCTATTTGAATACGATTTAAAACTTGTCAGCTTTGTTTGTACATTTTGTGTGATTTTATATTCCCAGGGCATATTTTTAAAGTTTTTAGAGTTTCTAGTATTACAAGTCTAAAAATTACTATTCAATGTTTTGTTTGCCCTAAAACATACATTTGGAGAAGTTTCGTGTCATTTTAACGGTAAGTAAATTAAAAACATATTGTAGTAAATTATTACTAATTTTTTATGCATGTTTCCAACAAACCTTGAAGCAATAATGGAAATTTGGATTCAAAACCCAGACAACACACCAAATCCCAGAGATATCCACAGAAAATCTTTTGTGGGTATCCAATATATCCACAGGATATCGTAGATATCAAGTGAATCTAATATGGATAGCCAAATGTCCGTATATTTACGTCTATTTCCTATAGATATCCAGCAAAATATCTAATGGGTATCTCCCAGACAACACACGAAATCCTACAGATATCCACATAATATCTTTTATGTATATCCAATATGTCCACAGAATATCACAGATATCCAGTGAATCTAATATGGATATTTAAATATCCGTATATATCCAGGATATAGAAGATATTCTATGGATATCCAGCAAAATACCTAATGGGTATCTTTAGTAGAGGTTCATAAGTAACCACTGAATATGTCCTATAGATGTTTAACATATCCAAGGTACATCCATTATTTGATATATTTAAGATATCGAAAATTATATACCTATAGGGTGTCGTATTTAATGCTTCATTACATTTTTTTTTAAAGATAAGTGGAACAATAACATGCATACCTAATCTAAAACCAATCCACATGAAGTATATCATATTTCAGTAGCACAACATCAGGTTATTTTATAATTTTAATTCAATAATTCTGATATTCAAGCCAAAATTAAGGTAAATTT